GGCAGGGCCGGGGACACAGCAGGGTCCATGCAAAGGGGGCAGATGGGCCAGAGAGCCCCAACCCACCCTCCTCTCAAGGAGTTTCAAAGCAGGGTCTCTAACCCTCACCCCCAGCTCAGAGCCGGATCCGGGGGTTTTACTGCATTTCATGCCTGTTCCCCCCGACCCGACGCCGCTCGGCTCCCACTCCTGCTCCCACACCCGTCAAGGGGGTGGCTGAGTCCCAGCGTCAGGGACAAATGCGGCTCCGTGGCGCCTGGCTTGCGCCGGTGTCTGAGAACAGAGTTTTATCCCAGCGACCCCTTGGGACGGGGACGCGCGAAACGGAGGAAGCCAAGTTTGGCTCTCCAGGCCCCGGCCGGCCGGCAGAACAAACCTTTCATGGCACAAGAGACGGCCCTGGGATCGGGCCTCCCGGACACGTGGGGTCCCACGTGGCCAGTGCTGCAGACCCTTTCCCAGGGAGACCCACGTGCCCAGGGGGTGCTCAACCCGCTTTCAAGCGCCGCACACGGCGAGCCCACACTCCCTGCCCTGCCAGTGACAATGGGCGCATCTCTCCACCCACGAGCCAGCGGGACCAGATCCCACCGAACACGGACACGGGCAGGTTTGCTCCCTCCTGCAAGCATCGGCTGCCTAATCCCCGAAGGAGCCCCCGAGACGGACTCTCTGGGCCGGGGGAGCCAGCCGAGGATTTCAAGGGTCACATTTCTGCTAAGAATCCCCTGGGACCAGGCTGGAGAAGAAGCGTAGCTGGGAACCGAACCCTCGGCCCACAGTCGAGAAGGCCAGCGCCTTAACTCACGTGGCCCCTTTGCTCTCTGTGCCACAAGGCACCAGCCACGTCCTAACCTCCCCCCGACTGGAACCAGGCCACGAATGGCTGCCCGGCGTAGCTCCTCCTCCCGAAGACGGCGGGGTATCCTGGGGCAGGTGCAAAACCCACGCGCAACGCTACCGGCCTACCCCCGGGCTGGCGTGGGACACACTCCGCACCCGAGGAGGAGTCTTCGCTGGAAGCGGAGGACCACGGGAGCATGACGCTCAGAAACTCGCGGCGGTGGGGCCAGGGAGCTGGCGGGGGGCTAGTTACCTCAGAAGGTCCAAGATCTGGAGAGAGCACTGCATAGTCCCCAGCACCACGAATTCCTCGGTGAGGCACAGGGCCGTGACCTGCTCGTCCAGCGGCACGGAGGAGAGATGCTTCCCGTTCACAGAGTACAGGTGCAGGGCAAATTTATCCTTCAAGGAGACAGAGGAGCAGGGCCTCGGTGGCGTGTCATGGGGGTGGGGCACTCGCCTTTCGCGAACCCACCCGTCTGGCCGGCTGCGGGGTCCTGCACTGCCTCCGGCCAAGTCCCACCGCCTAGTGTGAAATCACAACCCCCAGCAGGGCCCATCCCCACGCTCTGTCTCAGTCTGAGCATGGTGCCTCCAGGGCCTCTCCTCCCGGAGACAGGTTCTTGCCCCCGACTACGGTGTTACCCCGAGTTCATCACAGTCATAGAATCACAGGGCACCTCGAGAATCACGTAGCCCTATGCTAGATCATCCCTGACAGGTGTCTGTCTAACCTGCTCTTAAATATCTCTAGTGATGGAGATTCCACAACCTCCCCAGGCAATTTATTCCGGTGTTTAACCACCCTGACAGACAGGAAGTTTTTCCTAATGTCCAACCTGAACTTCCCTTGCTGCAGTTTAAGCCCATTGCTTCTTGTTCTATCCTCAGAGGCCAAGGAGAACAGTTGTTCTTTCTCCTCCTTGTAATATCCTTTTAGATACCTGAAAACTGCTCTCATGTCCCCTCCCAGTCCTCTCTCTTCCAAACTAAACAAGCCCAGTTCCTTAAGCCTTCCCTCATAGCTCATGTTCTCTAGACCTTTCATCATTTTGACTGCTCTTCTCTGGACCCTCTCCAATTTCTCCACATCCTTCTTGAAATGTGGGGCCCAGAACTGGACACAATACTCCAACTGAGGCCTAACCAGCACAGAGTAGAGCGGAAGAATGACTTCTCGTGTCTTGCTCACAACACTCCTGTGAATGCATCGCAGAATCATGTTGGCTTTTTTTTGCAACAGTGTCACGCGGTTGATTCCTATTTAGCTTGTGATCCACTCTGACCCCTAGATCCCTTTCTGCCGTACTCCTTCCTAGACAGTCGCTTCCCATTCTGTATGGCTGTGTCTAGACTGGTCAGTATTTCCAGAAAATCAGCCGCTTTTCTGGAAAAACTTGCCAGCTATCTACACTGGCCCCTTGAATTTATGCAAGAACACTGACTTCCTACTGTAAGAAATCAGTGCTTCTTGCGGAAATACTATGCTGCTCCCGTTCGGGCAAAAGCCCTCTTGCGTAAATCATTTGTGCAAGAGGGCCAGTGTAGACAGCACAGTACTGTTTTGCGAAAAGTGCGTCTAGATTGGCATGGACGCTTTTCTGCAAAAAGTGCTTTTGCGGAAAAGCGTCCGTGCCAATCTAGACACTTTTTTCCTCAAATGCTTTTAACGAAAAATGTTTCCGTTAAAAGCTTTTGAGGATCATCATGCCAGTCTAGACGCAGCCAGTGTGTAAAACTGATTGTTCCTTCCCAAGTGGAGCACTTTGCATTTTTCCTTATTAAACTTCATCCTGTTTACCTCAGACCCTTTCTCCAGCCTGTCCAGATCATTTTGAATTATGACCCCCTCCTCCAAAGCACTTGCAACCCCTTCCAGCTTGGTACAGTCTGCAAATTTAAGAAGCGTCCTCTCTATGCCCTCATCTAAATCGTTGTTGAAAATATTGAACAGAACCGGCCCCAAAACGGAGAAAATATTGAACAGAACCGGCCCCAAAATGGAGCCCTGAGGCACCCCACTTGTTATGCCCTTCCAGCATGTCTGTGATTAATAGCTACTCTCACACTAGCGCCCCACACAGAGCTCTCCGTGGTGTTTCCGCTCCCTTAGCCAGCCAGCCACTCACTCAGTCTTCCCCTCTTCAGGGCTTCAGAGACACTGAGCTGACGCGGCTCCTGCAGCTCCTTTTATAGGACCTTTCTTGCCCCTGATTGGCCGGTTCCACCACAGCCACTCTAGCCTCCTGGAGGACTTGTCTATGGCCTTTTTTTTTTCTGGGGCAGGCTGTGGCAGGACCACAGGGCCTCTGGCAGGGGGCCTCAGGGCCTGGTCCACCCTGCCACAAGGAGCCACTAACATCAGTAATCGACATCATTTCCCCTGTCCACTCCTGCTCTAGGAAGTGGCTGGGTGAACGGCAGTGGGGGTGGGCACAGCACGGCCTCTCCATGACTCCCCATTCAGACAGGCCTAGGTTTTACCTTGTAGGGCAACGCCAGCCATCAGCAAGGCCTCTGCACTGCCTGCATCAGCCGTGGGGCGGGCACGTCCCACCCAAGTCCCCTGGGGATACACATGAGGGGGTAAGAACCAGTTTCCTCCTTCGTAGCAGGGCTGGAAGTGAACAATCTCCCCTTTCTGAGGCGCGAGCAAACTCCTGCCTCCGCAGCCCCACAGGGCGGAGACTCAGGATGTACTCGTGTAGTGGATTAACCGATAAGCAAAAGCTCACAGAGGTTAATGCTATAGACCACAGGCATTCCCCATCCCCCCGCAGTACATTTTTTAGCAGGCTGGTCAGCAGCCCAGCTCAGTCTTGGCTCACGCTGGGTCTGGGACCTAGCCCCGCTGCGGCTCTGCATTTCAAGGCTATGTCTAGACTGCAGGCTTCTTTCGAAAGAGGCTCTTTCGAAAGATGCTTTCGAAAGAGCCTCTTTCGAATGCTATAGACCACAGGCATTCCCCATCCCCCCGCAGTACATTTTTTAGCAGGCTGGTCAGCAGCCCAGCTCAGTCTTGGCTCACGCTGGGTCTGGGACCTAGCCCCGCTGCGGCTCTGCATTTCAAGGCTATGTCTAGACTGCAGGCTTCTTTCGAAAGAGGCTCTTTCGAAAGATGCTTTCGAAAGAGCCTCTTTCGAAAGATCGCATCTAGACTGCAGGCGGATCT